TATACATTCCAATCTAAACTACATTGCATAATATCGTATACACAGCCCAATGTAAGCTCTAACATTATGCATTATATTGATATGCCTCCAACTAAACTTTTTTTCTACATTACACGACTGTACACCGTAATATACACTGCCATAGGCAAACCCCACCATTAAATTATACAATGCGTTACTATACACTACCATATACTTTAGACTATAAAAATATTAGACTTGTAATATTACACCATGCATTATTCTACCAACCCTACTGTATACCACACTGCTGTATATTCACTGTACAATTACAATACTATATATTGCCTTATGAATTATGTTAAACATTACACTGTTATACTATTTATTATTATACAATATGCTATAAACATACCATTGACCGTCGTATGAAAGGTACTAAGAAGCAGTGCCAGCGAATGGACTGCGGTCTGAAAGTCACCGTAAAATACAATCAATCAAGAACCGAAATGGTTTATCACGTCTTTCAAATGATTGCTAAGCCATAATCCATCTTCTCGGTTGAAATTGTCTCTGTGTTTGTATATGTGGATGGCCTCATGAACGAATCTCTCATGGTAGCCAGATGCCTTGCAGAGAACCTCCGTCTTGGAGAAGTCAATGTCACGTGAGCCCACTGAATCATAACAGTGATCTGCCACCGCTGAGGTGTTTGTCCTACCGTGTTTCAAGTCTGCTTTATGTTCACGGATGCGTTCCGAGATATGTCGTTTGGTTTCTCCAATGTAACTGCAACCACAGAGGCAACTTAGTTTGTAGACGCCCGGGTACTGTATGTCTGGAATCAAATCCTTTACAGACGGGACCAGATCACGGATTTTATGTACTGCGCTGAATCGGACCTGGATCTTGTGTTTATTCAGCATTTTGGAGATCTTTTTTGTGACCCCCGCAATGTAGGGTAAGGTGATGGTTTTGAATGGCTCCTCAAGAGGTTCCTTCTTCATGGTTGGAGTGATGGCTTTGCGGATTGTGTAGTCGGAGTAACCATTAGCCTTGAGAGCTTGGTGTACGTGTTTGAGTTCACTGGCAATGTGATCCTGGTCGGAAATGCTTTGGGCTCTATGTTATAGAGTCTTGATGAGGGAGTTTTTCTGGGATGGATGGTGGTGGGAATCCGGTTTTAAGTAATTATCCGTATGGGTAGCTTTTCTGTAGATAGAGTGGCTCATTGAATCATCAGGTCTCCTTTCAATTAGGACATCCAAAAAGGGTAGCTTGCCATCTTTTTCGAATTCCATGGTAAATCGGATGGCTGGGTGTATGGAATTGATGTGGTCGAGGAATTGGTCTAGAGAAGGCCGGCCATGTGGCCAGATGACAAGTGTCATCCACGTACCTCTTCCATAAGGTCGGGCGTAGAGTGGCAGTCTGGATGGCGTCTGTCTCAAATTTCTCCATGAAAACGTTGAATATAACCGAAGATAGGGGGGAGTCCATTGGGGTGCCCTCAGTTTGTTTGTAGAAAGTTCCATTCCAGGTGAAGTATGTGTTGGTTAAGAAGTGTCTCACCAGGGCGTTTACATCAGTGTGCAGTCCGTGATTAACCAAGTCTTCAATGATTGCGATGGTGTCAGGTGCAGGAACTTTGGTGAATAAGGAAACCACATAAAAACTGACAAGCATGTCGTCTAGGGACAGGGAAATACCCTTCATTGTCGATACCAGGTGAGTAGAGTTTAGTATCGCAGAGGTGGTTTTTCCACTAAAAGGCCGCAAGATTTCAGACAAAAAACGAGCCAGTTTGTAGGTGGGGGAGTTGATAGTAGAAACAATGGGACGAAGGGGTGTATCTTCTTTTATGTATCATTGGAAGGCCATACAGTGAGGGAAAAAAATATTTGATCCCCTGCTGATTTTGTACGTTTGCCCACTGACGAAGAAATGATCGGTCTATCATTTTAATGGTAGCTTTATTTGAACAGTGAGAGAATAACAACAAAAAAAATCCAGAAAAACGCATGTCAAAAATGTTATAAATTGATTGGCATTTTAATGAGGGAAATAAGTATTTGACCCCTCTGCAAAACATGACTTAGTACTTGGTGGCAAAACCTTTGTTGGCAATCACAGAGGTCAGACGTTTCTTGTAGTTGACCACCAGGTTTGCACACATCTCAGGAGGGATTTTGTCCCACTCCTCTTTGCAGATCTTCTCCAAGTCATTAAGGTTTCGAGGCTGACGTTTGTCAACTCGAACCTTCAGCTCCCTCCACATATTTTCTATGGGATTAAGGTCTGGAGACTGGCTAGGCCACTCCAGGACCTTAATGTACTTCTTCTTGAGCCACTCCTTTGTTGTCTTGGCCGTGTGTTTTGGGTCATTGTTATGCTGGAATACCCATCCACGACCCATTTTCAATGCCCTGGCTGAGGGAAGGAGGTTCCCACCCAAGATTTGACTGTACATGGCCCCGTCTATCGTCCCTTTGATGCGGTGAAGTTGCCCTGTCCCCTTAGCAGAAAAACACCCACAAAGCATAATGTTTCCATCTCCATGTTTGACATCCGGTTCCAGGTAATAATCCGTATGGGTAGCTTTCCTGTAGACAGAGTGGCTCATTGAACCATCAGGTCTCTTTTTTATTAGGACATCCAAAAAAGGTAGCTTGCCATCTTTTTCGACTTCCATGGTAAATCTGATGGCTGGGTGTATGGAATTGATGTGGTCGAAGAATTGGTCTAGAGCAGGCCGGCCATGTGGCCAGATGACAATAGTGTCATCCACGTACCTCTTCCATAAGGTTGAGCGCAGAGTGGCAGTCTGGATGGCGTCAGTCTCCAATTTCTCCATGAAAATGTTGGCTTTACCGAAAGAACCAAGAATATGAATCCCTGCAGTCACGAAAGCTTTAAATAAAAAATATTGATATAGTTTATATTTTAGTTTTTTTATGTTTACTATATGGTATTCATTATATAGTGTAGTGTATACGCAGCTACTTTATGTTAATAGCTCAGCTTATTGGAGAATATATTGAGTACATTGATTATATTGTAGATTATATTGTAGTTCTTTCACATCGGTTTATTGTATGATAGTTGGGTAGTTGCAGTTATTTAGCGTCAATATACTAAATGCCTCTTCATATGTAAACTCTGACTGTAACATAGCTACTTCTGTGACCAGTTACATGCTAATCCCTCATACTAACATCATGCTAATCTCCCAGTTACATGCTAATTTCTGACTTTAACATTCTGCTAATCTCTCACATTAACAAAGCTACTTCAATGCTAAATTCTTTTGTTGATATGTAAACTCCTTTGTCTAGGCGATCTGCTCCTCCCACCCAGCTTAAAATATGCGGCCAAGCAATTGCAGTGTTAATTGGAGTGCTGCCTTTCTGACAGTTCTGTTTCTTCACCTGAGGAAGGCTACTTGTGTTGTGGCCGAAACATCGTGAGAATTTTATTTTATGTTTCATTTTTATTATTTTATTTCCATTCTATGTGACTTTACCGAAATAACCAAGAAGATGAACCAAGAAGAAGTCAAATTTGGCGTTGTTTCTCTGTGTGTCTATGTGTGTGTCTCTGTGTGTGTCTCTCTGCTTGTGTCTGTATATGTGTCTCCGTGTCTGTTTGTCTTTCTCTAAAATTTAGCAAACTTTGGAAGAACGTAATCAAGCACGTAGGGTGTTGACTGTTGTGTTAGCCGACTCTCTGTGTTGTATTGCAGTGCGTTATATTTCTAAGATTATTAGGTTTTGAGACCTCCTTTGCCAGAAACAAGATATAGGAATAGGTTTTACCCTTTTAACTGGCACAAAAACTGACACCTTTATTCAAGGCGTCATGTTTGCAATAACCACAACACAAGTTGTTTTTTTGTTTGCATTTTGACTGCTTGTGTTGTGGTTATTGCAAACATGATGCCTTGAATAAAGGTGTCAGTTTTTTGTAGAGTTGTCTTTTTTGTTTGCATTTTGATTGCTTGTGTTGTGGTTATTGCAAACATGATGCCTTGAATAAAGGTGTCAGTTTTTGTGCCAGTTAAAAGGGTAACACCTATTCCTATATCTTGTTTCTGGCAAAGGAGGTATCATAATGTAAATGCTCACCCCGAGCCCTCAATACTCTGTTAGTGCGCTGTTTTTTGAGTTGTACGCCTTTTGGCGTCTTCTGGTCCAACACCAATGGAGACTAGGCTCTAAGAAAAGCCGTCTCGGGTGTGGACCAATCAAATTCAAGGACAGTGCATATTATTATCAGAGTTGTCTTTTTTGTTTGCATTTTGACTGCTTGTGTTGTGGTTATTGCAAACATGATGCCTTGAATGAAGGTGTAAGTTTTTGTGCCAGTTAAAAGGGTAAAACCTATACTTATTATTAGGTTTGTTTTCGCATTCATTTTTACCTGATGACGGATTGCTTGTGTTGCAATCGAAGCGTCGTATTCTATTATTTAATTTATTTTCTTTCTACGTGACTTTACCCAAAAAACCAAAGAGTAATTCCTGCAGTCACGAAAGCTTCAAATAGTACCACTCTTCTTGCAATAGCTGGCGCTAGACGCCATCGTGACTAAATATATGCCACTACACATTAATTAATATTTACTGTACCTACAACAGCCCGTCGTTAACAGAGGAATGGTCGGTAAGGGGACACATTCGGCTCTATGGAGGACCATCGTAAAGCGATTAGTCGTTAACAGGGGTGGTCATTAAGAGGGGTTCTACTCTACACTAATATACCTTACATTCTATACTACACTACACTACTATACTCTACACTATACACAATACATTGGGATCTATGGTGGCCCGTTGTTAAGTGATTCGTCGTTAACAGGGGTGGTCGTTAAGAAGAGTTCTACTGTACCTTGTGCAGCACTTATCTATAGTGCTGGTGCAGCACTATACATAAATACAGACAAGTATGTGCGGGCCGCAATAGGCGCTCTCTAACAACACTCGCCCTCACGGTCTATGAAGCTACAATGCGTGGGATCTGTGTGTTGGTATGCATGCGAAGGTCTTGATTGAAGAGTACAAGCGACTCAAACAAGGGCTCAGGTTCATGCCTCAGTCACACACCGTGCAGGCACAGGTGACGGATCCTGCACGCATGGTACAGTATGGACACCGCATTCCGTCACCGCATTGTCGTCATCATCCGGTTCACAATTGAAACGTTGAGAGTTCACATCCTGGTTGGGGGGGAGTTGATTCAGTCTATCATCCCTTCCGCGGTCGAAAAATCGACTCGCACCTCCGATTAGCACTGTTGGCTATGTATGGTGCGAAAGAAGTTCAACATACATACAAAATGAACGCCACTTTGTGGGGACGTCAACAAAGGTAGCCCTCTGCGTAGACTCATCCCAACCATACAAGTGTGGAATTTCCACCACTGGCTCTATAGGGCTGTAAATGGGAGATGACCATTGGGTGCTTCAATACTGCTCGTTTGAGAGCAGCAGGGAATGCCTTTGACTCTTTGTTTTGTTCCATTCTAAAACTGAGGCCCCGCTTCTTGCACGGAGCAATGGATTTGCCCTCGCATAAAGGTCTGCTCTCAATATCTGTCACATAAAGTCACAATTGTTGTTGTAACGTGCGGCTGCTCTGCCATCCCATTCCACAGCTCAGGAAGGACAGCCCGCCCGCTCGCTTTGCAGCTGTCAACCAATCCGAGGTGCGAACAAGCTGGGGAGGGGGGGATGTTGCATATCACGATTCCACGCTTGAGGCATTTCCTTTCTGTGCACACATTGAGGAAAATGATCTGCCAACTTGTGGCCAGACAGCTGCTTGCAAGAGAAAGACACGGAGACGCGGGCAGTCGCGCGACACTCCGCATTATGACTGAGGGAATGGAGGCTGAGCTGAGCCAGTCGTAGTGTTTACAGTGGTGTCACGGTGGCTAGGAGATGTTAACTACTTCGCCTGGTACACAGGAGGTCGTGGGCTTGTTCCCGACCCTGACGCCATGTTTGGCCTAAAAATAAATCCGAAACCGTGATGACCATCCAAAGAGCCTGATTTGCGCGCACACACACACACAAACGCAGACTACACCCACTGTACAGGCCTTTTTTCGTTCCGCTGCTCGACCTGTGGTGAGATGTTACCTCCCTCGCCTGGTATGCAGGAGGTCGTGGGTTCGATCCCGACCCTGACGATGCCTGTTGTATATTTGCCGTTTGCATGTACTCCCCGTGGTCTTGTGGCGTTTTCTCCAGGTCCTGCGGTTTTCCCCACCACATCTATAAACAATATCACGCGTTTAGAGTATTTGGCTGCTATACATTTATACGTGGTGATGATCATGCACTTCCTTGAGCAATCATTTGTGATAGCAAGGTCGCTTCTGAAAACGAGCTATGTAGCAGCTCAGTGGGGATTTACCTGGAAAAATAAAAAATAGTAGAGATTATCTTGGAGGGAGGGAGAGAGCGGAGGTCCTTTAGCCCAGGACGCTAACTTTCTTAGTGTTTGCGACTCCCCGTTGTATCACCGAGTGACGGCTCTCACCCCAACACAGTTACTCCTAGAGCCTGGCTTGAGAATCAATCAGCCGTGGTGAAGAACACCCACCCAGAACCGCTCACCCTACCCCGTTTGCCTGTGAGATAAACGCAGGCGGAGGGACGCGTCTGTTTGGCTAGCAGCAGTTTCTCGTGGTGACGGCGGCGATTGTGTTTCAGATGGATCGCGATCGCGAGAGCAACAATGCCCAACCAGAGGACGGTGTGAGTGCACACTTCACACACGAAGGCTGTCAACCCTACACTGCTTCATTTCAACTCTCCTCTCCCATCTCGACCCCTCGTATGTTGTTAGCGTGATCACGAGTGCTTGCATTAATCGGTCGTTTCATCCCGTTCCGCCTTCACAGGGAAACAACGACAACGATGATGATGGTGACGATGATGATGGCAACGACGACCTGGAGGCAAGGCCATACGTGGTCCGCACGTGATGTGCATGCCACCACCGCGGACAAGGAGACGTCACCTGACTCGACATCACCCCCCCACCCCCGTCCCATCCGTGGATCCCATGGGCGGTGGAAGAGGCATCGGCTTAAGGCGTCAGGCGTGCGACGGGTGGTTACACGCGGGGGCGTGGCTCAGTAATCGGGCCTGAGAGTAAACAGCGGTTGGCTAGACGCGGGACCAGGTGCTAGCCAGATCGGACGATCGCAGGAGGGCAGGTCTATGTGTTGCTTTCGCCAACACTTATGCGCCAAACGCTAAACACAACCTTTAAACACCAACCGTTAAACACAAACCCTTGTACTCTTTGTTTTTTTCGGTAAGTCACGTAGGTAAAATAAAATAAATGAAAAGTAAATAAAATCACGACGTTTCGGAGGCAACACAATCTTCCGTCTTCAGGTGGGACAGTCACTGCAAAATAGCTGTATCACTTGATACAGCAACCCTCACACGCCAACCCTGAAACGCATATTTCTTGTGTTAAGGAGTTGCGTTTAAGGGCCAACCCTTAAACGCAAACCCTTAAATGCAAACCCTTCTGTTTAAGCATTTACGTTTAAGGGTTGGCTCTTAAACGCAAACCCTAAAACAAAACCCTTTAACGCCAAACCATTAAACGCCAACTTTAGCACAGCAACCCTTACACAGCAACCTTTACACAGCAACCCTTAAATGCTAACCCTTAAACGCCAACCCTTAAACACCAACCCTTAAACACCAACCCTTAAACACCAACCCTTGATCACCAACCCTTAAACACCAACCCTTACAGGCTAACCCTAATACGTAAATCCTTGTGTTTAAGGGTTTGCATTCAGGGGTTTGCTCTTAAACGTAAACCTTTAAACACAACCCTTGAACGCCAACTCTTAAACACCAACCCTTAAACACAACCCTTAAACACCAACCCTCAAACGCCAAACCTTTAACACCCAATGCTTAAACACCAACCCTTAAACACCAACCCTTAAACACCAACCTTTAAACACAACCCTTAAACGCCAACCCTTAAACACAACCCTTAAACGCCAACCCTTAAACACAACCCTTAAACGCCAACCCATAAACGCCAACTCTTAAACAAAACCCTTAATTACAACGCTTAAGCAACAATGCCAACCATTAATCGCCAACAATAACCTTTAAACGTAAAACCTTTAACGCCAACACTTAAACACCAACCCTTAAACACCAACCCTTAAACGCCAACCCTCAAATACAACCCTTAAACACCAACCCTTAAACGCCAACTCTAAAACACCAACCCTTAAACGCCAACCCTTTAAAATCCAACCCTTAATTAACAACGCTTAAACACCAACAATTGAATGCCAACCCTTTAACGTCAGCGCTTAAACTTCATCGCTTAACCACCAACTCTTCAGCAGCGACTGTGAGCACAGCAGTACCAAGGTCTCGCAGACCACGTCACAAACTTAGCCCAAAACACAAACATTGCAGCTGGCGTTGCTGTCATCCTCCCTTGGAGCTTCCAGGGATCACCGAGAAACATGCGCGAGCGATGCTGCGATGCAATGTCGATCTTTGCGAGATGGGGTGCACCCGACCTCTTCATAACATTAACTGCAAATCCAAGCTAGTCAGATATCACCGACAACCTTCGACCGGGCGATCAGCCATCAGCTCGACCCGACTTGGTGGCACGTGTTTTCAAAATCAAGTTGGACGCTCTGATCAACGATCTGACAAAACACGGTGTGCTTGGAGAATCAAAGGTGCACATCTACACCATCGAGTTACAGAAGCGGGGCCTTCTGCACGCCCACATCTTGGTGACTCTGCGAGCTCAGGACAAGTTCACAACTGCCGAATAGATCGACCAGTTAGTGTGCGCCGAAATTCCAACGCGGGACCATCCACGACTGTGTGAGATTGTCACGAGATGCATGATGCACGGTCCATGCGGCGCTGCAAACCTCCGCGCACCCTGCATGAATCACGGAAAGTGCAGCAAGGAGTTCCCAAAAGTTGTCAACAACACCAAAATCCCCAATGTGAGTGGCTACCCACTCTACCATTGTCGATACGCTGAGCAGGCAGAAGTCAGAGAAGTTTCGATGGACAATCGATACGTCGTGCCGTACAACCCCTACTTGATGCTCAAGTACAATGCGCACATCAACGTGGAAGTGTGCAGTTCCTTTCAAGCCATTAAGTAAATCTATAAATACAACCCTTTAACGGCAACTCTTAAACGCCAACCCTTAAACGCCAACCCTTAAACACAACCCTTAAACGCCAACGCTTAAACGCAAAATCTGTAACGCCAGCCCTTAAACACCAACACTTAAACACCAACACTTAAACACCAACCCTTAAACGCCAACCCTTAAACTCAATCCCTGAAACGCAAATCCTAGTGTTTAAGGGTTTGCATTCAAAGGTTTGCCCTTAAACGCAAACCCTTAAACACAACCCTTAAACGCCAACCCTTTATCGCCAACCCTTAAACACCAACCCTTAATTGCCAATCCTTGAACGCCACCCCCTTAAAACCAACCATTTAAACGCCAACCCTTAAACGCTAACTCTAAAACACCAACCCTTAAACGCACACCCTTAAAACGTCAACCTTTAAACTCCATCCCTTAAACACCAACACTTAAACGCCCAACCTTTAACGCCAAACCCTTACACACCAACTCTTAAACGCCACCCCTTATGCGCCAACCCTTAACACAACCCTTAAAAGCCAACCCTTAAAAGCCAACCCTTAAACACCAACAATTAAAACGCCAACACGTAAACGTCAACCCTTCAATGCCAAACATTAAACATCAACCCTGAAACAACATCCTTTAAACACCTAACCCTTTGAACGCCAACCGTTAAACACCAACCCCTAAGCGCCAAACCTTAAACGCCAACCCATGAACAGCAACTCTTAAAAAACAATCTTTATACATCAACCCTTAAACACCAACCTTTATACACCAACCCTTGGACGCCAAACCTTAAACAACAACCTTTAAACACCAACCCTTGAACGCCAACCCTTAAACAACAACCCTTAAACGCCAACCCTTAAACGCCAACACTGAAATGCCAAAAATGAAACACCAACTTTTAAACACCAATCCTTAAACGTCAACCCTCGAACGCCAAACCTTAATCGCCAACCCTAAAACACCAACCCTTAAACAAAACCCTTAAACACCAACCTTTAAAACGCCAACCTTTAAACGCCAACCCTTCAATGCCAACCATTAAACACCAACCCTGAAACAAAATCCTTTAAACACCTAACCCTTTGAATGCCAACCCTTAAACACTAACCCCTAAACATCAACCCTTGAACGCCAACCCTTAAACGCCAACCCATGAACAGCAACTCTTAAAAAACAATCTTTATACATCAACCCTTAAACACCAACCTTTAAACACCAACCCTTGAACGCCAAACCTTAAACAACAACCTTTAAACACCAACCCTTAAGCGCCAACCCTTAAACGCCCACACGTAAACACGAACCCTTAAACAAGAACCCTTAAACGCCAACCCTTAAACGCCAACACTGAAATGCCAACAATTAAACACCAAGCTTTAAACACCAACCCTTAAACGTCGACCCTCGAATGCCAATCCTTAATCGCCAACCCTAAAAGACCAACCCTTACAGGCTAACCCTAATACATAAATCCACGTGTTTAAGGGTTAGCGTTCAAGGGTTTGCTCTTAAATGCAAACCTAGACACAACCCTTGAACGCCAACCCTTAAACACCAACTCTTAAGCGCCAATACTTAAACACCAACCTTTAAACACAACCTTTAAACGTCAACCCTTAAACGCCAACCCTTAAACGCCAACCCTTAAACGCCAACCCTTAAACGCCAACCCTTAAACGCCAACCCTTAAACTCCAACCGTTAAACACCAACCATCAAACGCCAAACCTTTAACACCAACCCTTAAACACCAACTCTTAACCGCAAATCCTTAAACACAACCTTTAAACGCCAACCCTTAAAAACAACCCTTAAATGCCAAGCCTTCAACACCAACCCTTAAACGCCAACTCTTAAACAAAACCCTTAAACACAACGCTTAAGCACCAACGCCATCCATTAATCGCCCACAATAACCCTTAAACGCCAACACTTAAACACTAACCCTTAAACACCAACCCTACAACACCAACCCTTACAGGCTAACCCTAATATGTAAATCCTTGTGTTTAAGGATTAGTGTTCAAGGGTTTGCTCTTAAGCGCAAACCTAAACACAACCCTTGAACGCCAACCCTTAAACACCAACCCTTAAGCGCCAACCTTTAAAACACCAACCATTAAACTCCAACCCTTAAACGCCAACCCTTAAACGCCAACCCTTAAACGCCAACCCTTAAACGCCAACCCTTAAACGCCAACCCTTAAACGCCAACCCTTAAACGCCAACCCTTAAAACACAACCCTTAAACGCCAACCCTTAGACTCCAACCGTTAAACACCAACCCTCAAAAGCCAAACCTTTAACACCAACGCTTAAAGACCAACCCGTAAAAACAACCCTTAAACGCCAACCCTCTAAAAACAATCCTTAAATGCCAACCCTTAAACACCAACCTTTAAACACAACCCTTAAACGCCAACTCTTAAACAAAACCCTTAAACACAACGCTTAAGCACCAATGCCAACCATTAATCGCCCACAATAACCCTTAAACGCCAAACCTTTAACTCCAACACTTAAACACTAACCCTTAAACGCCAACTCTTAAACGCCATCCCTTAAACACCAACACTTAAACGCCCAACCCTTAAAACGCCAACCCTTGAACGCCAACCCTTAAACGCCAACCCTTAAAACACAACCCTTAAACGCCAACCCTTAAACTCCAACCGTTAAACACCAACCCTCAAACGCCAAACCTTTAACACCAACGCTTAAGCACCAACGCCAACCATTCATCGCCCACAATAACCCTTAAACGCCAACACTTAAACACTAACCCTTAAACACCAACCCTACAACACCAACCCTTACAGGTTAACCCTAATACGTAAATCCTTGTGTTTAAGGATTAGTGTTCAAGGGTTTGCTCTTAAACGCTAACCTAAACACAACCCTTGAATGCCAACCCTTAAACACCAACCCTTAAGCGCCAACCTTTAAACACCAACCCTTAAACTCCAACCCGTAAACGCTAACCCTTAAACGCCAACCCTTTAACGCCAACCCTTAAACGCCAACCCTTAAACGCCAACCCTTAAACGCCAACCCTTAAACGCCAACCCTTAAAACACAACCCTTAAACGCCAACCCTTAAACTCCAACCGTTAAACACCAACCCTCAAACGCCAAACCTTTAACACCAACGCTTAAACACCAACCCATAAACACCAACCTTTAAAGACAGCCCTTAAACGCCAACCCTTAAACACAACCCTTAAACGCCAACGCTTAAACGCAAAATCTGTAACGCCAGCCCTTAAACACCAACACTTAAACACCAACACTTAAACACCAACCCTTAAACGCCAACCCTTAAACTCAATCCCTGAAACGCAAATCCTAGTGTTTAAGGGTTTGCATTCAAAGGTTTGCCCTTAAACGCAAACCCTTAAACACAACCCTTAAACGCCAACCCTTTATCGCCAACCCTTAAACACCAACCCTTAATTGCCAATCCTTGAACGCCACCCCCTTAAAACCAACCATTTAAACGCCAACCCTTAAACGCTAACTCTAAAACACCAACCCTTAAACGCACACCCTTAAAACGTCAACCTTTAAACTCCATCCCTTAAACACCAACACTTAAACGCCCAACCTTTAACGCCAAACCCTTACACACCAACTCTTAAACGCCACCCCTTATGCGCCAACCCTTAACACAACCCTTAAAAGCCAACCCTTAAAAGCCAACCCTTAAACACCAACAATTAAAACGCCAACACGTAAACGTCAACCCTTCAATGCCAAACATTAAACATCAACCCTGAAACAACATCCTTTAAACACCTAACCCTTTGAACGCCAACCGTTAAACACCAACCCCTAAGCGCCAAACCTTAAACGCCAACCCATGAACAGCAACTCTTAAAAAACAATCTTTATACATCAACCCTTAAACACCAACCTTTATACACCAACCCTTGGACGCCAAACCTTAAACAACAACCTTTAAACACCAACCCTTGAACGCCAACCCTTAAACAACAACCCTTAAACGCCAACCCTTAAACGCCAACACTGAAATGCCAAAAATGAAACACCAACTTTTAAACACCAATCCTTAAACGTCAACCCTCGAACGCCAAACCTTAATCGCCAACCCTAAAACACCAACCCTTAAACAAAACCCTTAAACACCAACCTTTAAAACGCCAACCTTTAAACGCCAACCCTTCAATGCCAACCATTAAACACCAACCCTGAAACAAAATCCTTTAAACACCTAACCCTTTGAATGCCAACCCTTAAACACTAACCCCTAAACATCAACCCTTGAACGCCAACCCTTAAACGCCAACCCATGAACAGCAACTCTTAAAAAACAATCTTTATACATCAACCCTTAAACACCAACCTTTAAACACCAACCCTTGAACGCCAAACCTTAAACAACAACCTTTAAACACCAACCCTTAAGCGCCAACCCTTAAACGCCCACACGTAAACACGAACCCTTAAACAAGAACCCTTAAACGCCAACCCTTAAACGCCAACACTGAAATGCCAACAATTAAACACCAAGCTTTAAACACCAACCCTTAAACGTCGACCCTCGAATGCCAATCCTTAATCGCCAACCCTAAAAGACCAACCCTTACAGGCTAACCCTAATACATAAATCCACGTGTTTAAGGGTTAGCGTTCAAGGGTTTGCTCTTAAATGCAAACCTAGACACAACCCTTGAACGCCAACCCTTAAACACCAACTCTTAAGCGCCAATACTTAAACACCAACCTTTAAACACAACCTTTAAACGTCAACCCTTAAACGCCAACCCTTAAACGCCAACCCTTAAACGCCAACCCTTAAACGCCAACCCTTAAACGCCAACCCTTAAACTCCAACCGTTAAACACCAACCATCAAACGCCAAACCTTTAACACCAACCCTTAAACACCAACTCTTAACCGCAAATCCTTAAACACAACCTTTAAACGCCAACCCTTAAAAACAACCCTTAAATGCCAAGCCTTCAACACCAACCCTTAAACGCCAACTCTTAAACAAAACCCTTAAACACAACGCTTAAGCACCAACGCCATCCATTAATCGCCCACAATAACCCTTAAACGCCAACACTTAAACACTAACCCTTAAACACCAACCCTACAACACCAACCCTTACAGGCTAACCCTAATATGTAAATCCTTGTGTTTAAGGATTAGTGTTCAAGGGTTTGCTCTTAAGCGCAAACCTAAACACAACCCTTGAACGCCAACCCTTAAACACCAACCCTTAAGCGCCAACCTTTAAAACACCAACCATTAAACGCCAACCCTTAAACGCCAACCCTTAAACGCCAACCCTTAAACGCCAACCCTTAAACGCCAACCCTTAAACGCCAACCCTTAAACGCCAACCCTTAAACACCAACCCTTAAAACCCAACCCTTAAACGCCAACCCTTAGACTCCAACCGTTAAACACCAACCCTCAAAAGCCAAACCTTTAACACCAACGCTTAAAGACCAACCCGTAAAAACAACCCTTAAACGCCAACCCTCTAAAAACAATCCTTAAATGCCAACCCTTAAACACCAACCTTTAAACACAACCCTTAAACGCCAACTCTTAAACAAAACCCTTAAACACAACGCTTAAGCACCAATGCCAACCATTAATCGCCCACAATAACCCTTAAACGCCAAACCTTTAACTCCAACACTTAAACACTAACCCTTAAACGCCAACTCTTAAACGCCATCCCTTAAACACCAACACTTAAACGCCCAACCCTTAAAACGCCAACCCTTGAACGCCAACCCTTAAACGCCAACCCTTAAAACACAACCCTTAAACGCCAACCCTTAAACTCCAACCGTTAAACACCAACCCTCAAACGCCAAACCTTTAACACCAACGCTTAAGCACCAACGCCAACCATTCATCGCCCACAATAACCCTTAAACGCCAACACTTAAACACTAACCCTTAAACACCAACCCTACAACACCAACCCTTACAGGTTAACCCTAATACGTAAATCCTTGTGTTTAAGGATTAGTGTTCAAGGGTTTGCTCTTAAACGCTAACCTAAACACAACCCTTGAATGCCAACCCTTAAACACCAACCCTTAAGCGCCAACCTTTAAACACCAACCCTTAAACTCCAACCCGTAAACGCTAACCCTTAAACGCCAACCCTTTAACGCCAACCCTTAAACGCCAACCCTTAAACGCCAACCCTTAAACGCCAACCCTTAAACGCCAACCCTTAAAACACAACCCTTAAACGCCAACCCTTAAACTCCAACCGTTAAACACCAACCCTCAAACGCCAAACCTTTAACACCAACGCTTAAACACCAACCCATAAACACCAACCTTTAAAGACAGCCCTTAAACGCCAACTCTTAACCGCAAACTCTTAAACATAACCCTTAAACACCAACCCTTAAAAACAACCCTTAAACGCCAACCCTCAAACGCCAAACCTTTAACACCAACGCTTAAGCACCAACGCCAACCATTCATCGCCCACAATAACCCTTAAACGCCAACACTTAAACACTAACCCTTAAACACCAACCCTACAACACCAACCCTTACAGGTTAACCCTAATACGTAAATCCTTGTGTTTAAGGATTAGTGTTCAAGGGTTTGCTCTTAAACGCTAACCTAAA